GGGGGGGGAGAGTTTATAGTTCATCAAGCTACGTGCCTACCAAAGATCATTTGCGTAGTTAATTGGCAGAAGCAAACCTCTCGTGGTCGATTTTTAATCCCGGATAAGAAGATAGAAGTTCAAACAGAATAATCCAACATTCTATTAATTATCATAATAAGTTCGTTAACCGCAATCCTGATCATTATTTGGCACGAGATTGAATATTCTGACGAAACGAGTTTAAGCTGCGCGCGCAATAGTTTCCAAGACACACTGTAACGCGGGGGTGGGGAGGGGGCTGTGCGGGAGTGCTAAATGTGCAGTCTGTCTTCATTTCCTTCGGCTTATATATTATTGAGTGTTTCTTTCCTTTGAAAAATATTGTTTCAGGGTTTAAATATATCTACAGGTACGTTTTGAAATCCAAACTGTATATTTGCTTTGGTTTGTTTGATTATAATTCACAAAAAACGATAAAATTCAAAAATTGAAATTTTGCTCACGTAAAATTAAGGAACGCAATTTAACACCTAACATGATCGCTAAAGTCTAACAAAACCGCCCTTTAGAATGTTTTTTTCCGCCTTTAGATTTTATTTCAAGTAATTAACCTCGATTGATAAACAATGGCGTGGGAAAAACCACTTTGAAATACACCTATAAAGAACTAGATATAATGAGAGGGAATGTCCAGTCCCCCAATTACACTTCCTTTGCAGCACTCGTTCCAAGTGTTTCAGACAATTTACAAAAATACGCCCACAATTGTGAAGTCAAAAAAGGTTATGAAATCTTGTTCTTTTTTATGAGATTTATCGGAAGATCCGTTTCGAGAACATTGAGTTATTTTAGTTTCTAGAAAAGCTCATGGAGATTTTGAAGACATTGATTATCTTTTTCTGTTGAAAGATCTCTAACGCGAACGTTGGAAGAACAGTAAAACGGTTAAGGTTAACTTCTATGTATTTTATGGGGTTTAGTGACATCACGGCTGAGATGTCATTCATCGTCTTAGTCATCTAAAGAGGATCAAGATTTGTCCTTGTAATTTTTTTTTCTTCTGTTTAATTAGATCAAGCAGATTAAATGACTGTTTCCGGGCGGAACTTTTAACAGGGCTGAAGTGTTAACAAGTAATTGCTTTAGACCTTCCAATACGTCGGCGAAATTCTTGAGGTACCAAGAGAGATTGAACAAATATCTCTTTTTACCACAAATAAATAAGCGTGGGCGGTCAGCAAGCATGCACAAATTCTGTGCCGAAAGGTATAAAATCAAAACCATCGAATCGGTGCAGCAGTGTGTTGTCAACGTGGTGAAGGAAGGATGACAAATCTAGCGAAAAGCTCCGGTCTCTGCCTGATTGATGTTCTTTTGCTGAGTTTTCTGTCATCTTTGATGATTCAAGGTATGTTTAATGGTCACGACAGCTAACATTTAGATTCCTGATTCCGGATTCCTGATTCCTCTTGTAAACGTCTTTTTGTTTTGTTTCGTTTTTTGTTTATTTGTTTCTTTGCTTGACCGTTGCACATCGTTAAGACATTAAAATAATGAACGCAGGCATAATTTTATATCTGTTCCCAGATAAAATATAAAAAAAGTTCCCTCACCTTACATCACTTAATAAGAACTTGTAATCCAGACACGTGATGAAAGCCTTCGATGAGATCATGATATCTCAAAAATAAATTTTAATATTTCAAATACAAAAATAGTGTCATAAAAATGGGGCTTCTTTCCTTACTATATTTCATGACTGTTAGTTAATTTTTTCTCCCGGTTATACAGCTTACCTAAGCTTCATTCGGAAAAGAACATTTTTTTAAATTCATGTACCGGGCAAAGCCATGACTGAGTCACCCAGCATCATTAATGCACAGACGTGCCTTCGCTTCATCCAATTTATTTAAAGATTTAATTTGATTTTAGAAAGATACAATGTCTGACTTTAAGTAAATAAGTTGAAGCTACAGAGGTCCTTGTAACAAGAAATTGAACATGAGAAACTTTGTACTTTGTATTATTCAGAACTGAAGATTACAGAAGAACTGTCGAAACATGTTTTTAAAAAGTGTCTTTCATTTTCTTAAATTCGTTACATCTCTGCTACTATTCGGGCCTTTCATATTTTGAAAATGAACCACATGTTAATTTTGTCTCGTCTGCAGTTTTTTAGATGCAACAACGTTCTTCAGAAATAAAAGAACGAACAGTTTTTTCGGACAGACTGTTAAGAGATTGTACAGAGCAGAAATTGCGATACATTTAGTTAAACTCGGTATGATAAACATTCCCGTTATATAAACTACCCTAGAAATGTTCACGCTCGTCGTATTACGGCTCAGCTTCTAAGCCATCTGTAAGATGCAATGCACAGGACCAAGATATCAACCGCTGACATACCTCATTGAAAGGAAGGTCACAAAAGCATTTTTGATTAACAGCGAAAATAACCAGACTTGCCATGAATGAACCCACTTAAGCCGAACGTTTTTGGTCTTTGAGTATCTTTAAAGAGAATGGAATAAACTGGTGGTGTTCCGATACCTCTACATGCTACCAAGATACTTAATGAAATCCCATGCAGGATCGGTTTCACATGCATCCTGCCTTCGTTTAGGAATAGCAACGATAAAACGTTTTCTTTTATGAAACAGGTAACAAAAGTTCTCTCACCATGTTAGAAAAAAGGATAAGATAGTAAAAAAGAGTATATCATGACTGAGTTGTAGCAATGCTGAGGAACAAAGAAACGTGGGGTAAAAAATTGTTTGACAAGAAGTACGTGACTTGCTCTCCAGGGCTGTCCTTCGTCATCCAACGTCGGTGGAAGGAAAAATTAATACCTCTCTCTTTAATTTGTTGTCGCCTTTAAGTCCGAGGCAATTATACTCAGAGATATCTTTCAATTAACTGACAAATACAACTTGAACTACGGGTATGATGAATCCTCTTTTCCAGTTCCAGCAAGCTTTACAAGAAATCGCCATTGTTTTACGATGATAACGGAAAAAGCATGGCGGGTATCCTTAAACGCCTGCCTGCTCTCTTTAAGACTAACAAAGAATTGCTCCGAGGAATTTGTCTCTATTTTCTGTGTTCCACATGTATGGCAATACCATATATAACAACGCCACTTTAATTCAGCCACGAATTACATAAAAATTAAACACAATACTATGTGTATGAATGAATGTGAACATTTTTTCGTTTTGCTAACACACTGCTTAAAGCAGATGAAACAGAAATACCGTGTATAATAACAGACATATTTAGAGACATGTGAAAGCGGGCAGATTCCAGGTGCAAGGAAGACAGAACTTAAAGCGAACCTGCAAGCAAGGTTTTCAGAAAGATCATCCATTAAAGACTGACATAAGCGTTGGATGTACTGTAAGTCCAAAAGCAATTGCCAGAGAACAAAGTTGCTTCTCTTCAAGAACCGGCAATAACTAAACATTTTCTTGTATGGCGCAGAATCCTGGAATATGACGAAGACCATATCAGCCACACATTACGACTTCAACACGGACAAAGTGTGTAATTCATTAAGAATTCCGGTTTTAATTAACACATGCGCAATGAGGCGCTAGAATTACCCAGGGACACTGGACACCACTAAGTATCCTAGCGACCGATTGCAGATTCATCAAAATAAATTGACTGGCTTAATCGATCGCAAACCTGTTTTGATCGCATGAGCTAAACGTACGGTTGACTAAAATCGTGATGGCACTTCCACAAACTGTGGGCTTCAAAGCTGAAGCAGTCGATGAAGAAGGAGTTTGGTGTACGTGCACTGTTGAAGAAGTAGACGATGATTACGTGATCGTTTCCTTTGACGGCTGGAATGAGTGGAATCGCCGCGTTTGTGATCCACGAGAGATCAGGGATCGAACATTGCCTGATCGGAAAAGAAAGCGAAGAAACCCCTCCCTTCAGTGAACAATGTCTTCGCTTTAAGGAGACCGAATTTTACTTCTAAATATCAAGCGACTTCTTGCTGAGTAAGAAGTCTCCTAGAACAGATGCCTGAGCAGAAGAATCTCCGAAGATGAGCTGCGCAGAAGAACGGGTACAAATCCAATCACCCAGAAAGTTCGGAGAAGAAGATAGAGATCGATCGGCACCGTGATCCGAATGCTACCATCAGTTCTGCTCAGAGTCGCCCTCCGACGACCGACGAACGAAAGGCAGTCCCAAGGAAACATGGAGAGAGCCGTAGAAAGGGAAATGAGCGACAGAGGCAGAACATGGGGATAGCTTGACCGTCTGGCAACCGACAGAATTCGATGGTGTTCTCAGGCTTTGGCTTAATGCGTAAAGACGTTCGCAGAACACTGACTTCTAACTAATACAATACATAATAGAACACGTACCATCATGGCAGTCGGGACGTGTCTTTATGTCTTCCGCATTTCCATAACGTTTTTCGTTCCCTTCGTTTTTCTCTGTTGAGCGCACCGAATAGTGCTAGGAAGAAAGTTATTCCCAGATAGTTAGAACATTTGTTCATGAATTCGAGTTAAATTTGAACAAATTCCACCTTGATTTTCCATCTACATCGGCGTGATCCAGCCGCCATTTCGTTCCCTTACCTGACTTACCTACTCTACGATTCACACAGCCTCCCTTAACCTAGTGGAAGTCAATTTTGTGTGTAGTGGTGATATTCATCCTCAGCCGGGAAAGAAAAAAAAGTCGGAATTGTACTGTGCCCCTCTATTCATTTCATTACTGCGTTTCAAAATATACCATCTTTCTCATGTTCTACTTACTAACACGAGAATTGCGACATTGCTGATCGTATGAATATTCAGGATGCATGATAAATAGTTGACAAAGAGTTTTTGTGGCTCAGTGGAAGCGCATCGGGTAAACCGTGCATCGGAGCGCGGTTTACGAAGGTCTAGGCATTAAGACTTGGCAGTTTATCTTTGCCTAACGCCATTATTTTCTCTTCCAAATTCTTGTTTCCGAAAATACAGATGCGTCATCCGCACCAAGCACAAAGTGCGAAATAAAGTCTTCCTGCCCCCTGTCAGCGGGCTGCCAATTCACCAATCAGATGATAGTAGACCCAGGCTCCACTATTCCAACCAACTGCTCCATCTTCGCAGGAGGAAAGGCCAAAGTCGTGACCTGGAACCAAGCGAAACAGCGAGTTGGTACAAGTAATGGCGGCGTATCAGATCTGGTTTTGAAAAAAGTGAGTTCGTCGGCGAGTGGAAGTTATTCATGTGAATGCACCTCTGTCAATTTTACACGTAAGTATACCTCTCTATTAACGTCTGTTTTTCAACCTTTAAAGGAACACTGACACATTGCCTCAAATGAATTTCCTTGTTACTTCAATATTCGGCATAGGAGTCGAGGTGGCTTAAGGATTTTTGTGCTTGACGTTGGATCGAAAGTCTGGATTGGAGACCTGGGCCCAGTTGTATAAAAGGGAAGATAACGCTATCCAACGGATAATTCGTTATCCAGCGGATAAGTGATAGAAAACGTACAGCGTTATCCACCGGATAGAGATTCATTTAGTGGATAGTGTTATCCGACCTTTAAACAAACGAGTCCAGGCCAAGTCATTGTGCTGAGTTCTTGGGCAAAAAACTTGAATATTACAGTGCTTCCCTTGTAACAGGTGTTTAAATGAGTATTAGTGAACTGTCATTCAGGGAGGAGTAGTAATACTCCTAGTCGCTTAAAGAAATGAATAAGATCCGGCTGGATGGGTCACTTGCCTCGTGTACAGGCTTTTCCTAATTTAACTTTCATCAAGAGATAACTACTCAGTAACTTTATACATCTTATTTTATCCAGGCGATCTTCAAGTCATTATGGGTAGTAGTACTCCGAATATCATTAAAAAACACAAAACGATTGACTTAAAATGCTACTTCTCTGGATGGCCCCTTCCTTCCAACGTAGAATGGTACAAAGAGCAATGGCTGGTCAGTAACGTGACTTATAAACTGATCACAAATGGAACCAAAGGAATGTACCAAGAGCAAAAACAAACGCGGTGGAATGGTATAGAAACGCTTCGTAGCATTCTCCATCTACCATCAGGAACCGAAGACCAAGAAGGATTCTACACCTGTAAGGCAAAGAGTAATATTGCAGGCTGGTCTAGTAGTGCATCATATACCATACAGATGATCTACGAATGTAAGTAATTTTCCGACTGCGATAAGAATAGCCTCTCTTCATGGCTAATCTTTTAAAGCTGCTCAATAGACACTGAAAGTTCCCTTTAAAATGTTTCCTGAAACCCAGCCAAAATTATTTCCGTATATGACTAACCAAGAAGCATTTATTTTTATTTAGGTCCATTGCCACAATCCCCGACTGTTTCTTCCTCACAAATCTCGGCAAGCAAATTCTCGAATATCAGCCTAACATGTTTAGTTGATACCGATGAGAGTGGCTGCCCAGAGGAGCTTTACTGGTTTAAAAACAACGACCAAACATCCTTGGCGAGCGGCGGAAAGTACAACATAGCATTGAAAAACACTCACACCAAATGCCAACAGGAATTCATTCTGACAATTTTTAACGCAACCAAGAATGATGATGAAGGAAGGTACAGTTGCCACTGGATGTGCGAGTATGAAGACACGAAGAAAGCTTTCATTGACCTCAAAGTATCTGCTTGATTGGCAACAGGTGAGAATGTTTTTAAACGGAATCATTCTTCCCTAGACTGAATCACTTCATGGCATTGTGATAGAAATGCAATAATGCGGTCGCTTAGACGTTTCAACTAAACGTTATTTCCCGGTAAAATAAGTTAATGCAGAGGAGATGCTGAAATTTTTAAGTTAGATTAACAACGTGAATAATGAACAACGTGAATAATGAACAACGTGAACAGAAACAAACCGTTGGTCAATTCGGTCTGGCTAATTCTTTAGCTTGACAGTGGATCTCCACTCTGATAAAACAGTGTCGTTTTTTGTTATCATTCCTGGTAGTGGAACAGTGCCTCGAGCGTTTTAAGGATTCTTGCCATAAATGATCGCAGTACAGATTGCGAACCACTCCATTGATGACTCGGAAATGAAAGCCAACAAAACTATCGAGTGCACGTGGAAAAAGGCATTTTAATTCAGAGCCACCCTCTAATTCTAAACCTAAATCATAAATAAATCAACGCTTCTTTTTATCGCAAATAGGGACACGTGTCACGATTACAATTCTTTGGTTATTTGCTTTTCAGTGGTTCCGATGTTTTAATGTGAATATTTTAGTAAGTTTTCTGTTTTGAGGTGTATATCTTAATAAGTTTAAAGATTAACATCCAAATCAAACTTATGAAAAATAATTTACCTCAGTAACTTAAATGAATGCTCCCTTAATGTTGAAGGGAATTTTAGAGGAACAGAGAAAATCAAAATATTGTCTTAGGTCATAGCGCTCAGCTTTTAATCCTTGATTTTCCTATTGCTTGCAGGAACCAAGTTCTGGATATTTGTCATGTCCAAGTCCACGCATTTCTTTACAAAGGGACTTATAGCAACTGCAGCCTCAAAATTGAAAACGTTACATCAAGTTTAGAGTAGTTCAGTTATATTGCCGTGATTTTTTATGAGGATAACTTCCCTATCAATATATGATGTATGATTAGGCAATTTGATGTTGCTTGTTTGAAGCTATCTGAGTTTCCACTTCCCATTATAGCATTTCAGTGTTTGAGCGATGTCATACCGTTGCTTAGAGTTAAGTGTATGAACACGGCTTTGAAACAAAATGAAAAAATTTGCAGACAGCATTTCAAAATACCTGTAAAACTGAGTCTTCGAAAGCGATAAAGATGCTAAAAATGAAATATTACCAATACTTTACAATAAAATACTTGCTTGATTCACCTTTTACGATGACCCATGTCGACTCTACACTGTTCATTTATTCTGCATCTATTTTACGGACATAATGAATAGCTCAGTAAACACCGAAAAAAAACAGCAGAAACATAACTAATTCATATTATTGAATTTTCAACTTAGCGGAAATTGCATTTTTATTAATCGGATTGCTTCCCTACGCTGCGGTTATCAGCTCACGTACCAGGTCACCAAAAATAGAAAATTATTCACTCAAGTGTTGCGACTGAAGCTGACTTTACTTTTGGCCGCGAGCAAACACTTCTCCCGTGCACTGGAAATAAAGTAAAACAAACTTTAGTCAATGTTATCTTGATAACAGAAGTAGAAGCCACATGAAAAAAAAAAAAAAAGCCAGATGAAATTGTTTTGGGAAGAGCTTTGGAACGAATCAAGAAGTTAATGTTGGAAGCAAGTGGCAAGAACTTGACCACAGACCTGGATATCGTTTCTCGGCTGCAAGAGTCGTTTCGTGAAATAGTAAAGGCACATCCCGATGAAGGAAATAACTTTACTGAGAATCTGTTGCACCATTTGATTATCGAAACTAGCTTCTTTCTTTAATGGCGAGGCTAAGAAAATAAAGCAGTCAGAAGTTCCCATCTTCGTCATCCTTTTGTTTACTACTTACTGTGGTTGTTTACCAGAAATAGAAAAAAAAAAAAGGCTCAGGTGTCGTTGGCCTATGTGCGTTCTTGGCTCCCCGTGAAAAGAAGTGTAAATTTAATTTCATTGGCAAATCCATGCCATCAATTAAATTTTCCTTCCATTAAGTAATGCGTCTAACTAACTACTTACAGATCGAAGAAGCCCACACAAAAAGTTTCTTTGTGTAGGAGAGTTATGTGCTGTCGTTGGAGATTGGGAACAGAGACCTTACCATATGACAACGGTAACGGGGCCGTCGTTTGCTGTCGGCGTTTCCTCCAAAATTTTACATTACATTATTGATGAGGTCGAGGTAGAGGTAACCCTTACCGAGACCTTGATTATTCTGGATATTACAGAAACTAAATCTAAAAATTGCTTTTTTCATACATTGAAGGAAAAAAAATGGTTACGACCGTAAGTGGAACTGATAATTTATTTCTAAACTTGTAAAAATATACTAGTCAGCAGCACATAATCCGATTTACAAAAAAGTCTAAGCGTGAGAAAAATTGAATAAAAGCTGGTTGAGGAGGTAAATAGCAATAAATAAGTTTAACTGAAGAAAACATTACAATTGTAGAGAGCGAAATTCAACTAATTTTTCAATGTCTTGCTCGTTCAAAGAAGCAAATGGTCATGTATTTGCTTCCTCACTGACGGCAAGCATCACCCTTAGAAATCATGCACCGCAGTCCTACGTGACACGATTAGCCTTGACCTTGAGTGACCTTGATATGATGATTATCTTATCTGCAGCTAGATGACGTCCCAGGCTCTAATTTAGAAAATTTCCTTTTGGCTTTCGGCCAATCTGAAAAGAGATAATGAGTTAATTATATAATAATCCAGCTAACCAGCGCCTGCGTGACAAGAATCCTGTCACGCGGTAATATCATTGGGGAGTTACTACATCACAGGCGACGAGCAGGGGATGAGGAAATGACCGAAATACGAGTGGTAAGCGGGGAAACCAATTTAATACTTCATATAGAGACATATCAGTTGTAGTTGCAGAAAACGATAGTGTTGTAAAGCCGAAATGTTAACAGTATACTTCGCTAAATAAAATGTTACGCAATTTTTCAAAAGTGTTGATGGCACATATATCTTTCACTGCTGTAATAAACAATAGAGGCATCGGTGGCATCCGGAAAGGCACCAAGAAGAATTATATTTACGTTTTGTAACTTGCAAAAAACAATCGTATTGTAAAAAAGCCAAAATGTTACCAGGTTAATCACAGTCGGTTTGCTTTTCACTTGAATTTTGCAATCTCGACTTTCGATTCCGGAAAAATGAAAAGCTAAGCAACTCTAAAAAAATTTCGTGGTAGATTTTTATATTTTTAGAGTCATTAATAAGTTTGTTTCCACAGCCTTTAGATAAGAAATTTTA